ATTTCAGTCATTGTTCCTACTACCTGCCAGCAAATCGGGCCCTTGTGGTGCTGATTCCTGGTTGGGTGGGCTTGTGTATGTTCTAGGACCCTGTGGATCTCTCCAGCAAACTCTCCTGTGAGGCTGGGAGTTTCTACCGCTGCCACAACCCCCACAGATTTTCATAGCCAGAGGTTTTGAGGCTTTCTTTTCCTTAGCTGGAGCCCTGGGTTGTGCTGGCTGTTTTGCCCCCAAGCTGATCCTCCCGGCTTCTCCGCACATGAACGTGGGATATCCTGGTCCGCCAGCTGCCACCTTGCCCAGCCAGTCTGTCACCTTGCCCCACGTCCTCTCCACCCTGGCTGCCCGTCTCCGCCCTTCCTACTGGTCTAAATGACTGCTTCTTTATTAGCTTCTTGGTTGTTGGACTTCCATTCAGTTTGATTTTCTGGTAGTTCTGTTTTTTGTTTGTTTGTTTGTTTGTTTTTTAATTTGTTGGTGTCCTTCTTTTGGTTGTGCCAGGAAGAAAAGCATATCTACCTATGCGTCCATCTTGGCCCAAAGTTTCCCTGAGAATAATTATTTAAATGTCAGTCATTAACTGGTAAATTTGTTTACTTGACTCATAATAATTGGTTTAGTGTCAGATTCAGAAAGTTATTTTGTCATTTGAAGAGAAGGCCAGGATTTTTAATTACAGTCATTAAAAAGGTAGGTAAAGAAAGCAAAGACTGAAAGTTAGAATAACAGAGAAAGGATAGAAAGAATATTTGACATTCTTTAGCTTGACAGAAAACTCACCTTCTGCCACGAGATTTTTCAATTCTCTTGGACTAAATTCTAATTTGTTATGAGAGATGAAAAAGGATACTTAAAAATTAGAGTGTTTCATTATTACTAAGGCAATGTATAATTAACTTAGTCTAGCCAAAATAGTAAAATTTTAAAACACCTTAATTCCATGAGCAAACAATACCACTTTAAACAGTTGATGTACGCATAGACAGATCTTAGTTGATATATATTCACATATGAAAGCACAATAACAAAAATGCAATTCAGCTAAGCAAACTCTTTACCAACCTGAGTTTTACACTTAACAAAAGATGATAAATATTTTCCATGTCAATTAACATAATTTTAAGTATTGTGAATTATTCAATTTTATGACATTACAAACATTATTTAATCACCTATTAAACATTTCATTTTTTTCTAAATTTTGCTATTTTATTCAAAGACAAAATGAATTTTACCTCTAAATCTTAACACATGATAGTTTCTTTAGATTAATGGGTTTGTAATTGTAAGCTTGAATGTGAGTATTCATTGGTGAATAATATTCTATAGCTGTATGAAACACATACGAGAAGCATTGAAGGAAAATTGGCATATCTTAGGTGACTCATTGTTTCAGTGACTTTTGAAGAACACTGCCCTGAGGCATCTTGAATTTTCCCTCTCTTTCTTTTCCATTAACCTCCAAGGAAAAAAATATGGTAAAGGTGCTTAATGATGTTCCTTAAAGCAAACCAGTGCAGCACCTTTCAGCTTGCAGAGTTCTGGACATGCCGATATTTTTATGCTTGGTCTCTTATGTTTGTGTAGAGAACAGGATCTCTCATGAAAGGGTCACTTGGTCAGCATTCGTGGAGGCAGTCCTCAGAGAACATCACATGAAACAGCTTATGAGTGACTTGTTTCCATCTTATTCTTCCTTGGAGCAACCAGGGATCTGGGGCAAACCTGTCAGTGATAAATGAGATAAACAAATGTAACACTCATACCATTAACCAGACATAGCCAATAATAATAAATTAATAATAATAATACTTTTCCATGGGAGAAAATGGAATGGGTAAGAGGTAGATTTAGGAAAACAAAATTGAAATGGAAAGTCTGAAATAGTCTCATGATAACATGTGTTGTCCCAATTCAGTCAGGCAGGATTTGACTATATTTATAACCCAAATTGTACCTATTTCCATGGGAATAACCCAAAAGTAAAATTTCCAGAGGCAGAAAAGAAATAAGCCCTTCTCTTTCTTTACTCAAATATACCAACAATTGTAGATTTCTTGAAAGAATAAAGGGAAAACCTTCACTTTCTTGGAGGAAAAGCCATGTATTCTGGACTGTTGGTCTTCTCCTCTCACTCCCACCCAGAGCAGCTTCCCCTCAGAAGAGGCTCTGAGCTGACACGGAGCTGGGGGCACAGCGTGAGGAGACAGTCTCTTTCTGAAGAACAAGCCTTTTTCTCTCCTGGGGTGAAGGAATTACATCTTTAAAGCCAGCTAAACATTGATAGGCACCGAGGTTAAAACATGATACAGAGCTATAAATTTCAAGAATTATAGCTACCTTTTATTGAGTACCAACTATGTATCAAGTATTATATACCAGGAACACTTCTTATTTTATCAGAGCCTTACAATACTCCTCTGGCAAAGACACTATTTTTGCTATTTTACGAAGTTGGGAACTTGTTCAAAGAGGTAAGATGCCTTGCCCTGGGCTGCTCTCTGCAGAGCAGGGGCTCCCATCCAGGACGTTGGGTTCTGGCTCCTCACCTGGTGCTATTTGGCAAAACTTGAATAAGGACTGTTGTGCCTTTGGTGCACTTACAACTCCTGTTCCTTAAAACTTTGTAGACCCTCATTCTTTTGCATTTCAATTTATTAAAATCTTCTGCTGATATCTACCTTGGTATCTCAGACTTGCATCAATCATTATAATGATAAATTAATATTGATTCACTTGCTGAGTTTTCTTAGGATCATCATATGTGTGTTCTAATTTTTAGTCCAAATGTATTATTACCCTCACCCTCCACTAGACTGATAAATTGTACACAATTGTGTCAATTGAGACTTAAATATCTTTCAATCAAAATAATTAGAAAATATTTTCATAAGCCACAGTGGTTTAAACATTATATCAGTATATTTTACAGTGTTTCATTGCAAATAAATGATACTGGAATCGTAACTAATTCTTACTAATAAAGTGGTAAAAATCATAACATAGTATATGTGAGATCAAATCTGTTGTTATATTTTTAAAAAGTTATATTTTAATGATTTTACTTTTTATTGTTAGTGTAATCACAGCACTGTGCATTTAGCAGAAGCTCAGTAAGTGCTGGTTGACATGGCCATACTGTAAGAACTGCCAGAGTCAGGCACACCTGGTATTGTAGATTTGGGCATTTTTTTAGGAGGAAAAAATACTGTAATTAATGCAACATTAATTATATTTAGAAGAATAGCACAGATAACAATTTCCCTTTTTTTATTTTGTCATGAAAGATATTTTTTAATGACTTGTGAGTATTGTGGAAATGCTTTATAAAGATTGCAGAATAATCTGTTCCATTGTTTTTCTCTTTTGTTTGATTTCTTTTCTACTCATCTGATCTTTAACTAAGAGGTATTCGTCCATAATAAGCACCAAAGATATTTTAGTCACTGAAATTAAGGACTTTTTTAGTAGGTCAGTCACTTTAAAAGCTATGTTTGATAGTCATGTATTAAGAGCAGACTGGTCAATTTCCTTTATGCTGTGTTTATGATAAAAGGATACTGATGAATTAAAGGCATATTGAAACAGAAACAAAAAATACTTGTATTATTAATTTTCCCTAAAGGGTTAAATTTATATGAGAGAGACAAGACATCATAATAAGTAAATGGCAGCATGACTTTCTTATAAAAAGAAGAATACACTTCAGATATTAATATTCAAGTTTGGCTTATTGTATAACTCTTAACTAGGCACATTTCAAAACCTATTGAAGGGGGAATGATAGCACTGAAATAGTTGTGCGTGAAGGTGAAATGTGCTACAATAGACTTAATTAGTACCATTTATGATTATAGTTTATGTGATGTCAGCATCAGTTCATTAAAAATGTAATGAACTATCAAATCATTGTATACAGGTCATTGAACAGCAATAAAGTGGTATCAGCTCTTCTTCATTACGACTCTGAGCTGGATTTGAACCAGTGACTCTCAGAAAATAGGCTATGTTCAAATGTCATTCTATAAAAATTCATTTGTAGAATAGCAGTATATCTATTATAACATTTTTATCACAAACTGCATTTATTTTTATTTGAAATGGATACAATCTAGAAATTGTCTCTTGAAAAACAAATATTAGATATTATAAAATGATTGTATTATATATTATATATTTATTGTATGTTATATGTTTTATTGATATATTCACTATTTTATTAAATCTGAATAAAAGTGGTCACATGTGACATGACATTGAAAAGTCCTTTGGCTGTGGAAGCAGAATGAAAGTCAGCTGCAATCAGACATACACCACAAATGTACTGCCATCATATAGTTCTGTAAGTCATAAATCCTTATACCACCCAGCTTTAAATAGTCTCACATCTAGTAGATTATATCAATTAAAAAACTATTTACCAATAGAAATACGCAACAATATCTGCTGAAATTTACAATTCTATTTCATTAAAACACTCAAATATTTACATATAAATATATAAGAAGGACCTCCCTCTCCCAAATGGAATTATTCTGGAGGGCGGGCCCCTTGTGGTACAGGCTACCCGCACTGGGCGAGGGTGCTAGGAACCCATCTGTAGCAGTGTAACAACTGGCATTTTTGTGAGAATCTGCGTTCAGCTTCAGTAAGTTTTTTTGAAGACTCTTTCAGTGTATTTGCCCATCTTATGATGGGTGCTTTACAAGTGCTCCTGCCTACCTTGCTCTGAGTGTTCAGCAGATCTTGACCAAAAACTGCTTGACCTCCCTGCCATACCCTCCCTATTCAACAGATCTTGCTCCTCGCCCAGAGCAACTTGACTTTGTTTGTTTGTTTGTTTACCTGGATGAGAAAAGTCTTCCAAGGGGAACGTTTTCCCTATGTGGAAGAGAGGGAACAAAAAATGGCAAAAGCACTAAAAGGCAGCAAAATTGATGTGTTTAAAAACCGTTTTTGAGCAGTGGAAAAAAAATGCCTCGAGGGGTATATTGCATCAAATGGAGTACTTTTTTAAGGTACCTGAAGTTTAAGCGTGTAAGAATAAATACACAATTTTTGTATAAATAAATTCTAGTTTTTTTTGGGTCCCTTCTGATGGAGACATTGTGCAACTAGATGCCAAAGTAATATTCCAAATATCTCTCAAATGGGATATTCTGTAACAAATGACTGGTAGTAATATATAGGCCAGTGTTCAGAGTGATTTCATTGCAAAAACTGCCTAAAAATCATTAAGTAAACAAAATGTGTTAGTTCAAAAGAAATAGAATGTTACATTATATATGTTTGTACATTTTTGGTTATTTAGAATTTTTCTATAACCTTGACAAGTTAGATATTCTTTTTTGCCTTTCTTTCTACAATTTGCAGCAGTTTACCATTAGTGTTTGTTCTTAGATTATACAGGATTGAAATTCTTCCTTGTATTTTGTAAATTGGACATTACATGGTAAATGGCAAATAATAAATGTCTGTCTAGCTTTATTCTAAGTGTTAAAGACTTCGCTTTTACGTTGTATCATTAGATGAAAGTTTTTTTGATTTGTGTTCCTCTGCGCCCGTTCTATTCGGGAGGAGTGTTAATCAGCTGTCCTGTGGTCTTCTTTGTAGTCGCAGCGCCGTGTTACCTTTCACCTCCCCGACGGCTCCCAGGAAAGCTGCAGTGACAGTGGTCTAGGAGACCACGAGCCGGTGGGTAGTGGAACCCTGATCTCACACCCTCTTCCTCTGGTTCAGCCACAGGACGATTTCTACGACCAGGCCTCTCCGGACAAGAGGACCGAAGCGGATGGCAACTCTGATCCCAACTCGGGTGAGTCGTCTTCCAAACTCGCCTGTTTGGAGTTCCTCTGGTTTTTCCTGCGCACTTGAGCCTTAAACAATGATTCTGGGGAAAAAGTAAATGAACAGTTTTCTTTTTTCTATTTGTTTAATCCAGGTTATATTTTTGTTGTATTTTTTAAATATACCAAGTCTGATATGTGTGATTATATATTGGTGTTTTGTATTAATCTTAGCCTATCAATGACCAATGTTGTGGCTGGACCAGCAAGCACTGTGGTTCTTGTTATCATTGTAAGAAGCCCTTCAGCAGTAACCATCAGGAAACTTTAAAAACATACAGGTTTATTACTTATGAGGCCTGGAAATCACACAGCACACTTGGAACCACACAAGGAGAGGGTGTGGAGGGAAAGAGTGAGCGCATGGTCATGGGGTTGTGCTTCTATTGCATGGAAGCTAGGGCCCTAGGGGAGGGGTAAACAAGCAAGCAGCTCAGATTGTGAGTTGCTGAAATTAACAGAGATCTTGAAAACAAAGAAGGCTGCTTTGTTTTGTTTTCTCAATTGGTAGAGAGGTGAGAAGAGTCTGCTATTTTTAGTCATGTGCTCATTTGGAGATAACAGTCTTTGAAATGGATGTCTCAGCCATCAAAGTTTAAGTCAGGCACTTAGAGAAAAAAAAAAGCCTGGGTTTGCACTACAATTGGCTATTAAATTGTAGCTTTATTTTAAACCATTAAAAAAGGAAAAAAAAATTCAAAAAGTTATTCGTTGACAGACATCTTGGTGTTAAAGATGTTAAGGGCAATGTTAATCGTATCACTGATAGAAGAGTTAAGTGGAACATAGTCAGTGAAGAATAAGACAAAAATTATCCTGTGGAATGCTATTTTCCAATGAAGATTTTAAAAAATAGTGATCTAAAACAAGTGTGAATATTGGTGGTAATGATTTGGGGGTTTAGTTTTTTTTTCTGATTCCAATTTGGAGGATTTGTTTTTAATTAGTACACTGAACAAGTGGAATGACTGAAATGTACTGGGCAGAACCTAGACTCTCCATAGACCCGCACCGCACCTCAGAAAGCGCTGCCCCTGCGGAGTAAGTCCTGGGAGGCCTCTTCTGTGGCCTTCGGAGGGAATGTGGGACAAGCGTTAAACCTTTTTCTGTCATGTTATTATAAAAAATATATATATCACTGACTAGTTTAATTTTATTAAAAATTATAAGTGCACTTTAATAAGGATTATGGCAATTCTGTGACTGCAGTAGAAATACTAAAAGGAGGTAAAGAGTACAAACACACTTTGTTGACTAGTTTTGTCATGGTTATCCGGCAGTTGCATTCTCTGACTTCAAGGATTTTTAAATTGACTGTTTCCAGGATGGTGGGGGGGATCTTTTATGCATATGTACCCCTCAAACTCTGCCCTGATCTCTGCAGGTTTCTCTGATAAATGACACTCTGATCATTGCCATGTAACGTTACATTTGCATCTTCTTTTTGCTGAGATTTCTCCCTACTTTAACCAATCTTTTAGGAAGATCTAAATAAATTCCATACCCACTCTGGTTCTCAATCTTGCATGTTCTAGGTCTTGGTCTCATAAGGAAAAAACATAAGTACATCTTTTGACTTACATCCAGAGAAATAGGCCATACCTAAAGAGCTGGCCAAACTGGTCTCCTTAGATTTCTTGGTTTTGATTAGCCTAAGTACCACTGAATCTAGATGTTTACATGGAACCCACCTTTCCCAGGCTTGTGTGAAAAGGTCAGATAGGTAGGACAGCTCTTTCTAAACCGGTTTTCTAGTCTCCAATTTCTTCCTCCTCAATTTTAAAACATCTCTCATTGCCATTAAACCAAGGGCCTCAAAACTGGTTTTCAACTACCTGTTTCTAACAGGGAGTAGTTGGTTACTCTTGCCTTTGGGCTTCAGCCAAAACAAAGACAGAAGACACCATTTTAAATATAATTCTAATTAACCTAAGCTGCTCTAAGCCAGAACTTTATCCAATATATATTTAGCTACTCACCCAATGACTTAGACCTGGGCAATAGCACTGGGCGAACTTCCAAGTGGGATAAGATAGAAGAGATTCTAAAGAGAAAAAAAAATAGCAAAGACAAAAACCAAACCAAACCAACCAACCAACCAACACATCAAAAAACCCTTTAAAGCCTGATTCAGGAATCCTCAGAGTTATCGCCAATCTAGTCACATGGGCAAAGAGACCCAGGGGATGAAACGCCCTTGCACACTCCAACCTTCACCTCAACGCGGTGACTTCCCCCAGGGGAGTCATGGGCAATAAAATGTGTTAAATCAGAACAGTAGGACTTGGTTGAAGAAAGAGCAAGGAGAAGCCCTGAGGGCCCCTGGTGACTAAACGTTCTTTTTTTTCGGTTATTTTTTACATTTAATGGGACTTAAAATTTTAAACCTCTTTTTAAAAATGTCTAGAACAGAATTAAGTGAAATAGGCTAGATATATTGAGACTCATAACTAAATGGTAATTCATTTGGATATCGTGATTAAAGTTCTTCACTCACATTTTGTAATGAAATCTGAGAAATTTGTGAAGTGAGGTACAGTTTAATTGAAGCAATAATCTTCAGTAATTATAGTCTTGCTATTTAGATCTAAACTATTTTCTTTGTCTTCAATGGAACTTTCCACCTATGGTCTAATAATTTCTTGAAGAGCCATGATTTTATAGCAATCATGCTATACACATTTAAATCACAAATCTTGTGTTATCTGTAGAGTTATTTGGTATTGCATTTGCATGGATTCCTATTTTTTTCAAATATAATGATGGCAAAAAATAATTATCAGAGTAAATCGTATTTCCTTAAGAAGTGAACTTATTAACATAATCATGGACTCCATGTAAAATTCATTAAAACCGTTAACTCTGAGAAAATAGTAAGGGTTTTTAAATTCATGATTGTTATTTTTAACAAATATAAGTAGACTGATAAAAGAATTTTATTAAGTTTAAAGCAAACAAGAACAATTATATGATCAGATTAGGAACAGTTTATAATCACTAATTCAGAATTAAGACTTAATCTTGTCCTGCTGAGAATCATGTATGGGGTCATTTTTATATCTTGTATTTCTTTTAAATGTTTATTTAAAAGTATTTTCTGTTGTTTAACCGTGTGCAAAATTTTAGATTAATTTTTTTTATTAAAGTCCTGTCTGCCATATGTCTCTGACTCCACTTGGACTGTGTATGAATCAGTTGGTAAAGTCCTTAGTACGGATAGTTTTGAAACCTGATGATATTTATGGGTAATGTTTGAGGTCTACTTATGAGTCAGGGAAGCTACTAAATGTTTAAATACATTGCTTATGAATCCCACACCAAAATTTTACGTTAGTATTATAAATAAACTGAATTCCAGAAAATGTATTTATCTTAAACTACACAAGTATCTGAGGCAGAATGTGAACATAGGAGCAGCTGACTCCACAGCTCATGCTTTCACGGGGCAGAGAAACTACCTCTGTGCACACGTTTCAAGGCAGTGCATAACTCAGCGCAGTCATCACTGTCCTTGAGTTTTAAATGCTGAGGCACTAGTCTTATGTTTTAAGAGTAAATTTGAGCACTTAAATATTAAGAAAATGAGTTGGTTGAACATTTGCTAGTAAGATGAACAGCTTGTAAGAGACCAGCTCTTCAGGACCCATTGACGTTGGGTTCATGAAAATTTAGACATTAATAGAATTATTTTACACAGAAGTTTAAAAAAAGGAAGTACTTTACATATAGTTACATAATTTGTGAGTCAAGAATGAAGCTTGTGCACGCTGACTCTTACCTAGTTCTCTTTTTAGTGGAACAGTGAATCCTTATTATGTCCCTTATACCTTTTCCTCAAAGAAAATCTTTATGATTATCTTATGAACTGTCTTCTCTCCCATAAATCTGAAGACTATTTGCTTACTTTCTATTCTCCATGCATAACAGTACCTGGAATGTAGTAGGCCAGAAATGTATGTTTGTTGACTAAATGGGTAAATCAGTAATTCACACACACAAAAAAATGCGATGAGACAAATTAAAAGTGTTTTCTCAAAATAAAAACAAAGGAACAAAAACTAAAAAAGAATACATCATGTTAATGGTGGTGATCTTCAGGTTGGAGTGTTGATTTCTTTTAAATTGTTCGTATTTTCCACAATTTAATAGTGTATTTAAAATTATATTTTCATTTTGGAATTATAGAAAGCACCTGACATAATGTTGAGGAAAAGTATTCCTTTATATATATATATCTATAGATATTCCTTCATATCTATATATAGATATCTATAGATTATGCTACTACTATAGATATCTATATATCTATAGATATATAGTAAAATTATTCTTCATATATTCTTCATATATACAGTAAAATATGAAGAATAAATTATTCTTCACATATATATAGTATATATACAATAAAATTATTCCTGTCAGCCCTAAAGACACAACACATGAGTTCGGTCCAGGAAGTGTCCAGCCATGCACTGTGAAAAATAGACATTTCTTGAATAAGATACAAGACCCAAGAAATATTGTGTTCAAGCTTAACACAAAATTTGAGGCAGATGTGTTGTTCTACTGACTGATTTTAAATTATATTGTATTGATTATGCTACTACTACAGTTGCCCCAATTTTCCCCCTTTCCCCCCACCCAGACCCCCCCATTCCCTCAGGCAAACCCCACACCATTGTCCTTGTCCATGGGTCATGCATGTAAGTTCTTTGGCTACTCCATTTCCTACACTGTACTTTACATCCCCATGGCTATTCTGTAACTACCTATTGTACTCCTTTAGCCCCTCACATCTTCACCCATTTCCCCACACAACTTCCCATCTGGCAACCATCAAAATGCTTTCAGTATCCATGACTCTGTCTCTGTTCTACCTGTTTATGTAGTTAATTTTTTATATTAAGATGTCGATAGAGATGTACTTTTTGCCATTTTTTGGTCATAGTCTTGATCTTCTTTTTTTTAA